ACGCACATAGCACCTTACGTACCGTTGATAAGTAGCACTATATACAGTGTATGTGTAGTACACAATAACACTACCTACTACAGACACTATTAGTACAGTATATATATATATATATATATATATAAACACTACGCAACACCTATAAGTGAAAATGAACAGTGATTGCGCCTATCCCCATCATCGTCCAAAGTTTATCGCGCGGTCATGATTGTCTGGTAGTGTTTCATTTTTTCATTTTTTTTACAGCTCGGAATGACTTAAAATTTAGAGCGTGTATTCATCAAAAATAGGGGAATCTTCGAAAAATATATAAAAAATATTTTACACGAAAAACATTGACCAAAATACCCTTAAAATAATTTAGGGGTATTTCGATCAATTTAGTTGTTGCAGATAATTTTTTTATATTTTTAATAGATCCACCTCAGTAAGATGTACATACTCTCCAAATTTTAGGTCATTCTGATTTATAATAAAAAATAAAAATAAAACACTACCAAACAATCGTGACCGCGCGATGAAGTTTGGATGGTGACGAGGGTAGGCGAAATCACTATTCATTTTCACCTATAGGTATGGGAAGACTTATATATATATATATATATATATATATGAAAAAACTTAGGTGAGCCCACTAGCTCACAGAAGAGCATAAGCCCAATGGCCCATATTGAATCCTGGCCGATCTGACAGTCGAGAGTGTTTGAATTTTAATTTTTTTCTACAAATCCAAATCATTTGAATTTTTAGGTGAACGTTCTTCTCATCAAGCCATATCTAATAAAAATATAAGAAAAATTATCAGCAAAATTAAAAATGATCAAAATTTCCCCAAAAAATTTATGGGGGCATTTTGGTTTTTTTCAATGTAATTTTTTTAAATATTTTTCAAATATTTATCTATTTTTATCGACACATCTAAAATTTTAAGTGATTTAGATTTATAAAAAAAATTAAAATTAAAATACTATCGGGCATCCGTGATCGCTAGATCAGCCCAGCTATTTGGCTCACCCTAGCATCTTCCATATATATATATATATAGTTTGTATATATAAGATATGCATATACTAATATGTTTATGTGTGTATGTATACACTTGCTATCCGTTATAGATACTGACATGCGCACGCACATGTACTATTACGTATTGGTAGTACATACATATATTTCTATATATATTGATATACATAACCATATATATTTATTATCAGTTTATACAATTATTAGCGCATATGTACACTAACATTTATGTATACTCATATGCATATGTATAAAGTGTTTATATATACACTAATGTATAAGATCATGTATATACTTATTATCTGTGATATACAGCTATTAGCACAATTTGTGTACGTATTGATTTATAAAAATATATACTATGGTACTCAGTGAATATATATACATATATATATATTTCTGGAATTCT